CCCCCCCCCCCCCCCCCCCCCCCGCCGCACCTGCAGCACCCCAGTCGCGAACACGAAGAGCAGAAACATATCTAACATCCGCAGCCTCTTGGGAGTGATTTCCCGGTAGTTGGACTGTAGCTGCTTGGCTACCTCCCCGATCGCCGACATCGCGCCTGCCGCGGGCTCGCGGCCGCCCCGTTCCCCTGCCGTCGATGCCCCCATCGTCCTCGCCGCCGCCTACGTCTCTCGTGCAAAACCCCGCCCAGCGAAAGAAGCCGCGTGCCCTTTCCCCCTCCCCCTTTAGTTGCGTCCTGCAAAAGCGTCCATGGTTGCATGAAGCAGGAAAAGGGAAGACTTGTTGTCCTCGGCACAGGGAAAAAGCGGTTACGTACCGAGGTCGTGAGGCACCGGGGGCGTGTTGAGATAACAACTGCACTCTTGCCTGTCCGCGCGAAAACGAACGAATATGAAGAATAGGATCGTGCACTGAGGGCGGTGCCGAGAGGAGCGTTGGGCGGCGGCTCTAACGCCGTCGGTACACGTGCAGACACGGCAACAGCGGACGGTCTCGTGACGCCAGCGGATAGGCCGACGATCACTGGCGATACGGTCGTTATCTACTCCTGCTGAGGACTTGCACGCCCTTAGAACCATCAGCGCAAAAAGAAACATAGTCTACATGTGTTGCTTTTCACGACGTAGGCAGCATGGAAAGCTGCCGACGCTCAGCGCACATCCAAAAGCAAATGGCAACACGCAATCCCCACGTCGCGGGGGCAACATGCTTGCTACAGTAGCAGGGGTTGCTGCCTGAGCAGAAAGATTGGATTGTCACGGAAAATTGAATTGTATTTTGCAACACAGAAGTACCCTCTAGATACGTGTCGGCAGTGCCGAGCGGCAGTGCCAAACCCATTAACTTTCCACAGCTCCTTGGGGCCAGGTCACTGCCAAAACCCTCCTGTGCAACGGATCGTGCACTCTACAACATACCGCTCAAGAACGCGGCGCAACTCGTGTGAGGTGGGGGCAATGGGAGTTGGGGAAGCACTGCTGTACACAGCAGTACTGCCTCACACTATCAGACATACAATTCATCCGCGTCAGATACTTCGGGGTAAGAAGCGTGGACCACCAACGTGAATCCACGATACAGAGGCACCGCACCGTCCGTGTGTGCCGTGTTGTTTTGTCCGATCATCATCCGCCGCGGCCGGGAACGGTTGGTGCAACAAGCAACAGCAGTAGAGATTGATGTGATGTTTTTCCGCTTTACAAAACGCAATGCTCGCAATACAACTCCGAGGTTTTCTCGTTCACCTATATGGGTACAATCACAGGAGATCTTACCGTGGGCAGCTCAGCGGGAGAGACTCAGGGGAAAGGCAGCAGGGCCGGGGAAGAATGGGGCGAATATCGTCTGCTTTGTTCCCTGCCGAGAAAAGCTTTTGGTACCCCCCGCAATGTTGCCCTGCAACATCACACGGTGCCCCAACTGGGTTGTTGTTGTTGTTTCTCACATAAGCTCTACAGCAGTGGTGTGTCGTGGCAACTCGCATCGCACAGACTCTCGCGTGGGAATATTCGGACAGACAGGAGACAGAGAGCTGTTCAGGTTTTGGTCTTGCCGTGGCTGGTGTGCGAAGGGAGAAGGTGAAAAGATGGTGAGCGGAGCTCGAATGCATCGAGAACTTGCAGTTTTTTTAGAGCAGGCAGCCGCCAAGAGCAGATGAAACGACGAAATGAATGTTTGCGGGGTCACAGTCTGCTGTGCGATGGGCTGTAGCCTCCGCGTATGGTGACATTCATCACTAGCAGGGATACACGGCTGCACTATCCACGTCTGGTGCATGGTTTATGTCCGTGCCAGTGAGGGGCTGCACTACGGCAATCGATTTTGACTGAAACACCCTGCGCGCCAAACAAAGTTGACTTTGCTTTCCTGGAAAAAAAAAAGACAAGCACTTGGGGTACGGTACTAGCAAGCAATGTTGATGTCTTCGCCTGCAGGCTGCTGCTCCTTTGCGCGGGGATTTACATCGGCCGGATGTAAACGCACATGGCCTGTAGCCAGCAGTGCCCAGAATTGTGTGCTTGTCGGGAGCAGATCATCCCGATTGAACTACTCACCCAAGTCATGGTCGTGGCTAATGTTGCATTTTCTGTAGCGGTCAAACTGTTCATTGTAAATGATCCGCCAGCAGAGCCACACCTGCACACCAGCCCACACACGAATCCATCCATGCTACGTTACTAGCGTGCGCGGAGGAGAGCCGCCGTGCAAGCCGTCTCGAAGTGCAACGTGATGCCAAGTGTGGTTCATTACCTGACGAAATCAACGTCCAAGACCATGCGCCTTCATGTGTTTTTTTTCCTGTGAAGTGCCAACGTTTCTTGAGCTACAGCGTATGCATCGTATGTGCAGCAGTACGCAGCACGCAGACTAAGCAGAGAGGAGCAAGGGCAAGCTATGGTCAGTCCAAGACCCAATATCAACAATTGCGACACCCACTTTATGAATTGTTTCTCTGCACCCAGGTGGTTGTTCGCAAAACCGAAAGTACCGGCAAACGCCCTGTTTCCAGGTGCAGGTCCCTGTGGAAAGTTTTTTTTTTTTCTTGTCGATTTATTTGCAAATAACCGGAAAATCTTGTTCACTTTTTCCTGGGGTGGGCTTTTGTCAGACCACAATTATGAGACCGGANGCTAGATTTTGGCATTTAGCAACTGGCATACGGTTTAATGTGATGTCAACAACAACAACAACCCAGGTGATTGTTAACAAAACCGAAAGTACCGGCAAACGCCCTGTTTCCAGGTGCAGGTCCCTGTGGAAAGTTTTTTTTTTTCTTGTTGTCGATTTATTTGCAAATAACCGGAGAATCTTGTTCACTTTTTCCTGGGGTGGGCTTTTGTCAGACCACAATTATGAGACCGGATTTCGACAGCTCTCGCGATTCCCCAGGTGGAATTTTTTTCCGATTTCGATTTCAGCAAAAATTGACGAAGTTATCGCCGAAAAACTGGATTAGAGAGACCATTTTGTTCACTTTTTCCCTCCGACATTCAACCATAGAGCTTCAAAAAGACCACGGCAATCGATTCCTCTCGGAATTCCCCAGATGGAATATTTTTCCGATTTTCCGAAAAAAAACTGGTTCGCGAGATATTCGGCATTTTGTTTTGCCGATGGGCGACGATTTGTTCCTGCCACTCACGCACACACGCACGCACACATAGCGCTTGTGCGAGGGTGTGCCCTCGCCCATACGCCCTACTGCGGCACTCAGCACCCGCAGCAGTCATGGACACGAAGAAGAAATGTGGCAGACCACCAAAGCGAGGCAGGTTCAAAGGCAAATTTCAGAGCCATGAACCAGCTGTCGCTAATCCCGAGCCATTGGACGACAGCACATCTTCTCCGATGGAAGTCGTTGACGAACCACACGACGACCACGACGAAGCCTGGTGCGACGAAGACGCCGGTGCCGCCTCGGGTGGAAGTCAGGCCACACTGTCTTTCGGGTCCGCTGCTGCTCTCGGTGAGTCTCCAGCAGCTTGCGCCGCACTGTCTTGGGTTCGCGAGGTTGCGCCGCCTCGGCGTGCGGAGGGACCTTGTCGGCAGACTCTCAGCCGTCGCAGACAGGTTGCGCTAGGGGCTGCGAAACGTCAGATGGCGAGCTATATGGCCGGCTGGCTGACGCGTGGAGCGGAGCAGCAGTCACAGCAGTCATTACCTCAAAGTTCGGAGACGCAACGTGCGGCGGAACCACTGCTTGAAGAGGACGACAGCAGTGCGGTGCCTGCTGCTGCGTGCACCGCTGAGCCAGGCAGCGACGGCGGCCGCGATAGCAACAGCGATAGCTGCAGCGAAACCGACATGCTTGTTGAAGATGGTGTGGATCTACCATTGCAGGAGTGGGTCGGTGAGGGCGAGCAAGCAGAAGCGCAAGGAGCTGTGGAGGAACACTGCGACGATGGGTACTTTTTGTGCGGAGGGTTTCTCGACGGACACGACTCCCCGTCTGACCGGAGCGATGGTTCGCTCGACAGCGACCGAGACAGCGACCAAGACAGCGACGCCGGGCGCGACGGCGACGTTGAGCCCCGGGGTAGCAGTGCAGCAGCAGCGATGGGGAACAGGCGGGAACAGGGCGATTGCGGGTTCGGTGGCGATGTTGAACTTGGAGGAGCAAGCGGAGCACCAGCTATCGGCGGCTGCAGTGCAGCCGCCAAAACCGCCCGACAACCGGCCACCGCTGTTCGACGGAGCTCGAGGGAAACGTCCAGGAAGGAGTATTTTCCCCCAAGACGCGCCAGCGCTGACCGCGTCGGGGGAAGTGGGTCCGGGCGGGGAGTGCGCAAGCTGCTGCGGGATGAGGTCCAGAACCCGCTGTTGAGGTTGAAACGCGAGACTGCCAAAGCTAAGCGTGTACACCGAAAGGCGAGAGTCCGGCTAGTAGGACAGTTGTGGACGAAGCAGCAGCTTGCACGCCAAGCGAGGAGGACACGCAAGCATTGCTCGGAGCGCAAGGAGGAGCTTGTCAGGATATTCCGCCAGGCGCTGGACAAAATAGACCAGGTGTGTTGTTCGTGCGTGTTTGTGTGCGTTTGTCTGTGTGTGTGTCATTGCTGTATTTTACGGCGGACGGCGTGGGTACCCTACACACGTCACAGTAATATGCATCTTTGCCCATTACCTGTCTATGGACCTCTGCTGGGTGCTGGTGCTGTGTACACGGGTGAATAGCGACTGTCATGTTTCTGTCTAAGCGGCACATCAAACGACTTCTTTCGCATTGCACTTGTGTATGTATGCCGCTGTGCAGGCCGGCAACGACTACACGAGCCTGGTGGAGAAACCGGACACGATGCTGGCGCGAGTTCGTGCTGTTCGTGTCTGTCGGGTGATCGGGGCCGTCCGGACGTACCTTACCATGGAGTGAGTGTATGCTCGCCGTTCGCAAATTGAATTCGAAGAATGTGCAAGTCTTTAGGGGAGCCCCTTGGTTTGTTGAGAGCATCAACCCTCCACCCGTCCGTCCATCCCCATGTTGGTGGGAAAATGTGAGATCACGGTAAACATGCTTTCCGAGCTTGAGCCTTTTCTTATTCGACATTAGTTGCAGAAGGACGTCTTCATTGTTCCCCCCCCCCCCGTCCCCTCGACGTCTACCTGCGTCTTTTTCTTTTGCAATCTATGCAAAGTATGCCAACAGTAGGCGCATGCTGCTGCCCCAGTTGTCATGACCGCTGCCGTTGTCGATGTGCATTTTAGCTTGGTTGTACAAGAGCGCCTATGTTTGTAGTTACCTTTGTGCTGTGCCGAATGTACCTTGGCAGGATAAACGAGGGGGTGAAGAAGCTAGCGCATAGCCGCGCCGTCGGGGAGGCCGTGGGTGTCCACGCCCGAACCGTCCGGAAGTGGGTGACGGATTTCTGCAAGGACGGCAAGTTCGTTGTTCCCCATCGAGAGTACGTGAAGCGGCAGCCCTTCTGCTATATCGACGACGAGGATATCAGAGAACAGTGCCGGGAATACGTCGACGAGCGGATTTACCGTCGGAAGAAGGGGCAACCTCGCTTTCGGGTCGCCGACTTTCAAAGGTGAGGTTGTTGCAGCGAGGAACGGAGAGTGCAGGTTTGGTTTTGGTGCGGGAAACGCTCTGCGCATGTTTTCTCTCTCTAAGACATGCAACAGCGCGGGTATTTTTTACGGCTCTTGTTTCTCTGAAACAATCCCTGCCTCCCTCCCTTTGGTGCTGCGCGTCAGGTGGGTAAACACCGTGTGCCTTAAGGAGGAGTTCGCCGGCGGTGGGGGCATTTGCCGCAGCACAGCGCACGTCTGGATCGCCCAGCTCGGATTCAGGTGGCGGCGACACGGCAAGTGCGTGGACGTCGACGGCCACAACCGACCGGACGTTGTACAAGCAAGGAGGTTGTACNGGTGCTGCGCGTCAGGTGGGTGAACACCGTGTGCCTTAAGGAGGAGTTCGCCGGCGGTGGGGGCATTTGCCGCAGCACAGCGCACGTCTGGATCGCCCAGCTCGGATTCAGGTGGCGGCGACACGGCAAGTGCGTGTACGTCGACGGCCACAACCGACCGGACGTTGTACAAGCAAGGAGGTTGTACACGGAGAAGATGTTCGTCATGCGTCGCTTGATGTCCATGTAAGTGGTGTGGAAAGGCGGCGGAGCCGGTACCTGGTTGGGTAGTACGCGGCGAAGGGCGGGACGAGCGCCAATGAGAGAGTACAGTGTCGAGTATGCCCGGCAAAAATGCTGAATAAACTTGTCCGAAAAGCGCAGGCTCCAGCCTAGTCTGTTTCTTTATGCGAACGCGTCACATCGTGTATAATATGCTGTAGATGCGACCCCCGAATACGAGACAGCAGTTAAAGTGGACGAAAAAACGGGCTGTCTATTATTTTTTTGCGAGTTGGTGCTTTCGGTCAAAGGGGTATTTTTCGGTGTGCTCATGCAGGGTGCCATACTCGTAGCGCCAGCGATGCCGTTTCATCAGCAAGCACGAAAATAATCAAAAACGCGGTCTTGCGCAAAAGGGAAGTTAGGGGCAGCAGTTCGGTTGTGGCCTCGATTCTTGTGCTCGTCCCCTGCGCTGTTATTTTGCCAACCTAAATTTTTATATTTTGCGTTTTCGTTGGCCATCGCTTTGTTGTACCTTGCACCCCCCTGCACCCAACGAGCCGGAAGAAAATAGTTTGTTTGTCAGCCGTGGGAAGAGAAGCGTACCATACTGATCGCGCCCTCTCTATGCGCCCCCCCTTCACTGCCCTCGAATCTCGTGATCACAGACCGGAAAAAGTCGAAACCGTGGTGATGGTGAAGGTCCGCGACGCGCGTGATCGGGAGAAGACGTCAACGGACGACAGACGAGACGACAACATCACCGCTGCGGTCGCTTGTGCGGAGCCGGTGCTCTGGCCGGCAGTACGAACGATGCCCGACGGCGGGGTGGACTTCAAGCACGTTCTCGTCTACGGCGACAAGTTCACGGAGGCAACGGGCCACGACCGCTGCTGCACCCGTGTCTCTGTCGACGCGGGCGACCTGGAGATGACCGGTCGGGGGGGGCACTACACCCTGGTGCCTGATCGTGAAGTGCAGGAGTGCTACAAGGCGGAGAGGGTCAAGGAAGAGGCGCTCTTCTGGCCGGCGAAGCGTGTGGTGGCTGGCAAGGAGGAGTACAAGCACGTTCGCGTCCGCGACGGAGAGCAATTGCGCGGGAGGAACTGCAAGCGTGTGGGAGAGTTCAACTGGATCTCTGCCGACTGCGACTGCCACGACTGCAAGCGAACCCCATTCGTCGACTCCTCGCGGGTGCCGTTCAACCGGCGCGACTTGTCCGCAAGTGACGGGCAAGGAGACTTCTGCCTACTCCCTGATCACGAGGTGTTGGCCCTTTACTTCCACGACGAAACGACGGCGAAGGAGAACGACGATGGCGGCTGCCAGTGGATGGATGGTCAAAAAGGAGCCGCCATCAAGAAGAAGGGGGAAGGGCGGGCCGTGCACGTGTCTGACATCATCGGCGTGGACAGAGGCGTTGCGGTGATCGGGAAGGAGGCCTGGGGCATGATGCAGGAAGACAAGAGCGTCGGGTACGCTCCGGCGGTTGAAGTCATCGCGCAAGGGCCCGCTACCGGGGACGGGGACGTGCCTGAGTGTTTCGTAGTCCGTCAACGCTACGAGCGATCTGGGATCTACTTCGGCAGGAAGGAGGGCGACGGGGAGGATGGCCACGCCGTCAAGTTCGTACAGGATGCGGTGGAGTTGTTGAAAGCGATGCCAGCTGACTGCGGAGTGACCAAAACCAAGAACGACCCGCGCACCGGGGCG